GAACACTTTCTAAGAAAAAACAATTGTATTCTTATTCCTGTGCTGGCTAACCTGACCTGGGGTGACAGGACGAGGGGCATGCGGTATTCCTTTGGGGGCCTCTGGGGACCTTCACCCTGTGGCCTGTGAGGTCTACGGATCAGCACCTGTCTATGTTGATCCTTACTGCAGCCCCCTCCCCCAAACCCACGCAGGTGGTGTCTGGCCCATGTGAACACTCGACGGCTTGACCAGGACCACCGTGTCAGCCCCATCATCTGTGAAGAGAACCAAGGAGGGACCCCAGACCCCAGGTTCGGGGGACACAGCTGGCCCCTCCATCGCCCGAAGGCCGCCAGAGGCGTAGATGAGAGAAACAGGAATCAGAGGTCACCTGAAAGTGCCCCCCACACCCCATCCTCATATTTTAGTCTCGTGCGGGCCCAGGTTGTTCCTTGCAATCATGGTTTGTAGAAAGCGGTTTGTGAGAACTTTGTCGATCCACTTAACTGAGAGGCCTGGGGAGGACGTCGGGGTGTCAGGCATGGCTGGATCCAGCAGCAGGATGCAGCCTCTGGGCTCTGCTTTATCCCACCGTCTTTCCTCTCCCCGGGCCCTGGCCGGCCCCCTCCCGGGGGTCCTGGAACTCGCGCAGGGCAGCCCCCGCCACGTAAGGTGTCACCGCCACACAGGACGCCTGCACACAGCAGCTCCGCTCTCTCCCCGAGTGGGTACAAGCCCAGCTCTGGACTCTGACAGGCCTCCCAAGCCACGTCCTCGCCTCTGCGGGCACCACGACTGGCAGAGACAGCCACTCACGGGGACAAAACAGACCATCCCTCCCCATCCAAGGACCAGATCTGGCCAGCCCAGCAGAGAAAGAGGGTCCAGCATGAATGCCTTTTTTATCGCAAACACTGCTGTGGCCATACGCCAACGTGCGGCTCAAGGCCCGCTCTGCGCCACAGTCTTAGCCCTCGCTCTGCTTGTATTTCCCACAACCCCGGGACCCTCTTCCTTCCTGCTGCTGGGAAGCTTAGCACGCACCCCGCGGCCTGGGCTGGCCTCTGCATGCCCGCTCTGCGCCCACTGCCCACCACCGGCAACCCAGCCTCCACCTAAGCTAACTTTCTGTGCGGGTGTCCCTTTAAGCCACTTTAAGACCATTCAGGAACAAAATGAGGGGAAGAATAAAGCAAGGCCATCAACAGTGACACTGATGTGACAATTGGATTTTCCCTCAATTCCTAAGGTATTAGCTCGGAGGAAAGCCTGAACGCTCCCGGGGTTTGGGGCCGACAGCCTGGAAGGGGTGCTTTCAGGCACCTGGGCCAAGGGCATTAATCAGGGGACTTCTAACAGGGTCAAGGACAGACAGGTCTGAAGAACAAGTTTAGCCCAAGGCCCGTGACCCACAAGAAACCAAGGCCATTGTGGCATCTAAGCAAATATTGAATGAATGAATGAATGAATGAATGTGGCCTCGATTTTCTGCTTCGAATCAGCATGGAATCTGAGTCCTCTCTGCTCTGCCTGCCCCATCGCCTGCCCTCACCTTGGCCGCTGGCCAGAGCCCCTCTCAGGGCCTGGCCTGGCTCACACCCAGTCCTCACCAGCCGTGTGACCCTGGGCAAATGTGTCCATTTCCTGGAGTGCCATAGCAAAGCACCACAAACCTGGTGGCTGAAAACAATGGAAACTTGTCTCACTTGTCATACTGGAGGCTAGTATAATGTCGAGGTGTCAGGAGGAGCTCACTCCCTCCGCAGGCTCCAGGCGAGGGTCCTTCCGGGCCTCTGCCAGCTTCTGGTGGTCCCAGGCATCCCTGGCTTATGGCTGTGGCCCTCCAATCTCTGCCTATTTCTTCGCACGGCCTCCTCCTCTGTGGGTCTCTTCTAAGGACACTGGTGAGAGACCAAACGTACAAAAGGACAATGACCAGAGCGGCCAAGACAACAGAACTCGGGCTCACCGCCCGAGCCCCTGCCCAAGAAGGAGGCCAGCCCCTCGCCTACGGTAACCACAGGAAGCCCGCGTGCTGGGAGTGGGACGCGCAGGGGCCAGGGGCCAGCCCAGGGACAGTCCAGGAAGCTAACAGCGACTCTGCAGCCACTGGACCCCTGTGGCCAAGTTCGGTCGATGGCCCACAGTGGCCCTAATTTCTGTCCCCGCTTCCAACTTGGGACCAACCAGAGAAAGCAAAATATACCCTAATGAACCACAGAGACCACCCGCTTCCAGTGGGCAGCCCCCGCCCGCCCCAGCCCACAGCACGGTCTGCGCCCTCTTCCCTCCACGAGGCCGCCCGCCCGCCCGCGGGATCCGTCAGTGGCCGGTGGTAGCACCGGCTCCCCACGCTGGCGGTTCCGCAGAGCCGGCCCTGGCGCTTCTCCATCAGCGGGTGTGCGTTTATTTCCGCCCCTGCCATGGGATTCGGGGCCCACGGGGACGATCCAGGGCGATCTCGTCTCCGGAGCCTTTTCCCAAACACGAGCACACTCACGGTCCTGGGGGGAAGCCGTGGACACGCTTTGTGGGGGGCCACCGTTCCCCCCGCCACGGCAGGTAGCTCGGCCGCTCTCTGCCTCCGCTTCCCTGGCCGTGAGTGGGAGATGCTAAGGGGACCCGCCCCAGCTGGCAGCCGTGACAGTTAGGTGAGCGGGTCCGCGGAAAGCCTCGGAACGGGACGGCAAGGGACGAAGCGCTCCCGTGAGTCCCCGTGATTCTCGGGGCGGGGAGAGCAGCCTCTGGCAGCGAAGATCCGAGAAAACAAATCCAGAGGCACGAGGGCCCTTGTCTCCGATGGGAAGGTTCTAACATTGGATTGTGGCAATGGTCGCGCAGCTCTGCACGTTCATTAAGCACGATCGAATTATAGACTTAAACCGGGGATCGCCATGATGGATAAATTGTCTCAGGGAAGCTGTTGGAAAACAAAGGCAGGCTCCAGACGCTAAAAAGGCTCCATGTGCCGTCCTAGGCTCCACGCGCCCTCCGCCAGGGCAGGAAGCATGGCCCGTGGGCGCCGGGCTGCAGGACATACCGTCCGACAGGCACACACTTGAGACTCGTGGGGAGGGAGGCCGTGCACCCCCCTTTCTAAGGGACTGACTCGCAAACGCAGCTACGCTGGTGCCATCTTGCTTTTCCATGTCACCCAGTCATGTGCGCTGGCGAAGGCCAGAGGGGTAGGTGACAGCTTCTGTGGGCCGGAGGGCCAGCTCTCGGACTCAGAGACTGCCTAGCCTGCCATAGCTCCAGCTGGGAGCTGGCCTCCTCGTCACACCCCGAGGCTGGCTCGGCTTCCGTTGCCTCTGAAAAGTAATTTCGTAATTTGGGGGTCTGGGGTGTTTTGGGGCTCTCTCCTTAGATGCCTGGTTCCCACAAGTCCCCTCGATTCCTGCCCAGCTGCCCCGATCCCAGCGTAGGAAATGAGGGTGATTTTTAACCATCCACGGTTCACACCCACCCACCGCCTCCTTGGCTGCGCCTTTCTCCCTGCTCATAGGATGACCCTTCATGTCCCGCTGGGCAAAGTGTCCACCATGAGGGGGCCTGACGTGCCTCCGTCTCCATCACTCACAGTGGACTCCCCGGCCTCCAGCTGGGACAGACACTGGGGCGCAGCCGACGCCTGAGCCCAGGCGTGTGTGGGAC